AATCCTTCTTTGATTTTGTCAATAATCCCGAACGAATAAGAGATTTATAAATGCCCAAGACGGTCACGAAGTTCAACTACTTTTTTTCACCTACAAAGATCAAAAAAAAAACTTTTCAATTAAAAATTGACTTAAAGAAAGGTGCAAAAATAAGCCCACGTTAAGGAGCCGACCAAATATTTATTCCAATATGAAAGAATAAACACAATATGTTACGATTGCTTATTTTCCGGCTGTAGCCACCGAAAAAGAAAACAAAAACAAAGAAAATAATAAGTACTATTTTTCGCTTAATCGATCCTCTGAGGGCGGATCCAGTAACAAAGACATAAAATCGATACTAATGATTGGTATATCGATTAGACTGATTAGAGGCTTTGCGCAATGCTCACTTGTTTAATTTTTTTCTTTCTTTCCTTCATTCTTTACTTTTGTTTTTTGTCTGTCTTTTAATGCTTTCTTTTTTTTATCTTCTTTTTGGTTAATGATTGTTTTTTTTTCTTTTTCTTTTTATCTTTTCTTTCTTTCTTTTTTAATCCTTTCCGTTTCTTTCTTTATTTCTTCTTTCGCGGGTATTATTTGTTTTCTTTTTATTTTTTATTTTTTGCTTTACTTTCTCCCTTTTCTCTTTCTCATTTTTCTTTTAGCTTTTCTGTTATTTTTTTATTTTTTCTAGGGCCGATCCCTTCTTTCTTTCTTTCTTTCTTTCTTTCTTTCTTTCTTTCTTTCTTTCTTTCTATTTTAACCCCTGCCTTCGTGTTGTCTTTCTTTCTTTCTTTCTTTCTTTCTTTCTTTCTTTCTTTCTTTCTGTCGGTATTCATTTATATGTTTTTTCTTTCTTTCTTATTCTCATTCATTGCATTCCTTCCTTTTTTCCTTTTCTTTTTCATCATAATTTCTTTATCCTTTCTTACTCTCCACTTCTCATGCATTCTTTCTTTCTTTTATTCCTTTTTTTCTCCTTCCATGTATTGTTTGTGTTATGGGATCTTAACCCATAATAATAATAATGGACCATTCCATACTTAATAAATACTGCGCCTCAGGAGTAGGCAAGGAGTCGGTCGCTCACTTTCTGAGCGACTGTTCGGTTCAACTCTCTTCCTACGGGCGAGAGAGGACCCTAAGGGGCTACGCCGAAGGGCGGAACCTTCGGGGAAAAACCGGCCCTGAACCTGTTTATACAGGTTCAAATGGGCGGAGCCTAATTCGGGAATTCCCACGTTAAAAAGGCCTTGGCCCTGAACCCTCGTGGGGGGTGACTGAATATCGTCAGTCGCTCACTTTTCAAATGGGTTAAACTCTCTTCTTACGGGCTGAGGAACCTGAATGGCTACGCCGAAGGGCGGAGTCTCCTTCAGGGGAGGTAAAACCGGCCCAGAACCTGTTTATACGGGTTTAAAATGGCTCGGGAATTCCCACGTTAAAAAGGCCTTGTGCCACATGACACCCTCGTGGGGGGTGACTGAATATCGTCAGTCGCTCACTTTCTGAGCGGCTGTTCGGTTAAACTCTCTTCTTACGGGCGGGAGGAACCCGAAGGAGGCTACGCCGAAGGGTGGAGTCTCCTTCGGGGAGGTAAAACCGTCTCTGAACCCGTTTATACGGGTTCAAATGGGCTATTTTTGGCCGAGCCTAATGGCTCGGGAATTCCCACGTTAAAAAGGCCTTGTGCCACATGACACCCTCGTGGGGGTGACTGAATATCGTCAGTCGTTCACTTTCTGAGCGACTGTTCGGTTAAACTCTCTTCCTACGGGCGGGAGGAACCCGAAGGAGACTCCGCCGAAGGGCGGAGTCTCCTTCAGGGGAGGTAAAACTGGCCCTGAACCCGTTTATACGGGTCCAAATGGGCTATTTTTTGGCCGAGCCTAATGGCTCGGGAAAGCCCACGTTAAAAAGGCCTTGTGTCACATGACACCCTCGTGGGGGGGGTGACTGAATATCGTCAGTAGTTCAAGAGGGGTCAGTAGTTCAAGTCAAGTCAAGAGTCGAGTCATAGGCAGTCCGAAACAGAGTCGCGTTCAAACAACTACTGCAAGACATTGGAATAGTGATACTGGTCTAGACTACATTGTTCTCTCTACGAAACCTGATTGTTCGTACTAACACTTTCTACTTCTCTGTATATATTGCTGTTTGTAACATATCTGTGTTATTCCATACCTGTGTTCGAGTTCTTTTTATTGGTTCTACCTTGGACTATCACCGTCGTACAAGGAACCGGACCATATCAGTTTGTTTCTTTCTTTGGTTTAGCCAGCAAATTTTCTTTGCCTCTTACCCTTTCGTTTTTCTTCTTTTTCTGTTTTATTTCTCTCTTTCAATATTTTTCTCTCTTTCTCTGCTTTTTTCTTTCTTTCGTTTTTCATTTTTTTCATTTTTTTCTTTCTTTTCTATTTATTTTTCATTGTTGTTTCTACTTTTGATTCCTTTTTCCTTCCTTGATTTACTATCTTGGCTAACCTTTGACAACCTTTTATTTATTTATTATTTTTTTTTGTTGGCTTGTTATTTTCATGAAATCTTTTAAATTTGTCTATGACATCACTTCCTGTAATACACGTCCCACTAAGAAAGGAATAAAATATTACTGGATCATCGACGAAATAAAACCATGCCTCATTTTACGTTTCTTTGAAGGAAACCTCGTTATAACGAAACTTATTATTGTGGGAACCTAACCTACCTACAAATGGACTCTTCCACACTTATATAATGTGGCTACCAACGATGAGTAAGGAAGAAGTTACCAGGTGACGTCTCTCGAACTCTCTGCTTTGGCAGAGAGGAACTCAGACGAAGATTTGTCGAAGGGCAAGGTTTCGTCCGGGGAGGTAGACAGGCCCTGAACCCGTCTACGGGCTCGGAGAAACCCACTTTAAACTCGGCCTTGTGCCACATATATTCCTCGTAGGTGGGATATTAAATACTGAGACGTCACCAGGTGTGAGTCACCAAGAGTGTATCACCGAGTGAGTGAATGAGTGAGTCAGGACACCAGTGAGAGAAGGTACTCTCCTGTCCACGTTTACCGTTGTACTACTTTTCTTCCGAGAATATACTCTTTAACCTTATATCCGAGTCCGTGTTATCTTTCTAGGGTCCAACACCATAACACTTATTTGTGCAGCAATATAACAGACCAATATTCAGGGCTTTTTTTTTACATACTGCTAACGTTAAGAAGGATATTTGAATAATCGAGTACCTATGCTGGCAGTAAACCGCCTGCATACGGATAGAAAATAAATTCAGTATATTTACAAAAATAGAAAGGGGAGTAAGACAAGGATATGTCTTCTTACCGGACTTATTCAACCTATACAGTGATGTGATTCTGAGAGAATTAGAAGTCCTACCGGTATTCATTACCGCTCTTAATCTTAACGACATAAGATATGTTGATGACATAACGTTAATAGTAGATATGGAAAGGTAGCTACAAAAACTGCCGCAGAAGATTGCGAAGGGGAGCGAGATGAAAGGGCTAAACATTAACTGCAAGAAAAGGGAATGAATGGTTGTTAGCAAAAGGAACAGCTCATAGTGCAAATTAAAAATTAGAGAGACCAAAACCAAATAAGCACATAAATTGAAATATCTGGGATATAAGAATATTAAGAAATTAAAATTCTTTTTAAAAACACAGAAAAAATATTGAAAAACAAGAAAGAATTCGTTAAAAACTTAGAAAAGAATACTGAACTGTTATGAAATATCATCCCTCCTATATGGCAGAGAATGCTGGACAATCTCCTCGCAGATGAAGAGGAGATTTAAGACAGCAGAAATGTGGTTCTACAGTAGAATGCTGAGGATACAATAGACCGAACATGTTTTAGACAAAATGGAAACAAAAAGAAAGCTTATACTTAACATCAGAATGAGATGAATTTTTTAGGTCACAATATGAGGAAAGAACGCTTAGAAAATTTGACACTCACAGGTCATATTGAAGGCAAGAGGGACAGAGGAAAGCAACGCATAACTTACTTAGTGAGCTTGAGTAAGCGGATGGCGGTACAAGTTTTAGGAGAAATCGCAAAATGATAAAATTTATTAAGAACTCCAAAGGACAGGAAGTTGTGGAGAGCCATGATTACCTACCTCCTGAAGAGACACGTCATATAGAAGAATATTACGAAAACCTCAAACATAAGGATCTTATGTGAACAGAACTGCGTATGTCACGTTCAGAAATAAAAGAAAACACTTATCTAAAACCGGTTTTAGCAAAATATTTTTTTATCTAAGAGCCTCGGCAAAATAAAAGATAATACCTTTTTATTTAGAAGTTCATAATTAGATGGGAGAATAGTCACCTATTTATACATTTTATTCAGAAGTCCGTAAGTAAAAGGATGAAGACTTATTTTTAAGTTCGTAAGCAGAGAAAAAAACAGTCAATCATGTTCGTAAGTAAGTACAGTGGAAAATAGTTAACTATTAATACCTTTAATTTAGATGTTCGTAAGGACAAGGATGAAGAGTCATCGACATATAACTTTTATTTAGAATTAATTTATTGTTTACGGCTTATCAACCTTTTGTTGTCTTTTAAAGCCAGAAAATCTGTTATATTGCAATAATTTTTTAGTTGTTTGTTTGGTGTTGTTTAGCGGAATATAAATCTTTATAGATTTTTAATTGTCGAAATATAAATATTTCTTCAACAACAATTTCTTTTTCGATTTGCCGATACAAGAATTACTAATTAACCTATAGTTGGGAGAAAAGAGAGCGATGCATAGCTTTTCCAAGGGTATTTGCGCATAAGTGAATTTAACAAACCCCACTTGAATTGGAACTCAGCTCCACCATTGCCAATTCCAGGCCGTTATCCATTACACCAGACGCACATCCACGCTTAAATTACCTGGTATTCCCAAGCGGTCACACATCTATCTACTGACCAGGCTCGACGTTGCTTGATCGGTTGAGAACTGGTGTTTCAACGTGATATGGCCGTATGCCTCAAACAAGGAAGAAAAGCAAGATTAAAGACAAAAAGGAAAATAACAAATCGAAAAAGAAAGAAGGAAAAAGAAGAAAAGCAAGAAAGAAAAAAGAAAAGAAAGAAAGAAAAAAAGGAAAAAAGAAAGAAAAAAAGGTAAAAAGAAAGAAAAAAGAAAGAAAGAAAAAAAAGAAAGAAAAAAAGAAAAAAAGGAAAAAAGAAAGAAAGAAAAAAGGAAAAAAGGAGAAAGAAAAAAAAAAGAAAGAAAGAAAAAAGAAAAGAAAAAAAGAAAAGAAAGAAAGAAAAAAGAAAGAAAGAAAAAAAGAAAGAAAAGGAAAAAAGAAAGAAAAAAAAAGTAAGAAAAGAAAAAAGAAAGAAAGAAAGAAAGAAAGAAAGAAAGAAAAAAGAAAAGAAAGAAGATGAAAAAAGGAGAAAGAAAAAGGTAAAAAAAAAAAAAGTAAAAGGAAAAAGGAAGAAAGAAAGAAAGAAAGAAAAGAAAGAAGAAGGAAAAAAAGAAAGAAAAAAGGTAAAAGAAAGAAAGAAAGTAAGAAAAAGGAAAAAGGAAGAAGAAAAAAGAAAGAAAAAAGAAAGAAAGAAAAAAGAAAGAAGAAGGAAAAAGGAGAAAGAAAAAGGTAAAAGAAAGAAAAAAGTAAGAAAAGGGAAAAGGAAAGAAAGAAAGAAAAAAAAAAGAAAAAGAAGAAAAAGAAAGAAAAAAGGTAAAAAAAGAAAAAAAGGTAAAAGAAAAAAAGAAAGAAAGAAAGAAAGAAAAAGGAAAAGGAAAAAGAAAGAAAAAGGGAAAGAAAGAAAAAGGAAGGGAAAAAGGAAGAAAGAAAGAAAGAAAGAAAAAGAAAAAGGAAAAGGAAAAAAAAAAAAGGTAAAAAGAAAGAAAGAAAAAGAAAAAAGAAAAAAGAAAGAAAAAGTAAAAAAAAGAAAGAAAGAAAGAAAGAAAAAGAACGAAAAAGGGAGAAAGAAAAAAGTAAAAAAAAGAAAGTAAGAAAGAAAGTAGGAAAAAGGAAGAAAGAAAGAAAGAAAGAAAGAAAGAAAGAAAAAGAAAGAAGAAGGAAAAAGGGAGAAAGAAAAAAGGTAAAAGAAAGAAAGAAAGTAAGAAAGTAGGAAAAAGGAAGAAAGAAAGAAAAAGAAAAAGAAAGAAGAAGGAAAAAGGGAGAAAGAAAAAAGGTAAAAGAAAGAAAGAAAGAAAGAAAGAAAAGGAATACATCCAAAAAAGAAAAAAGAAAGAGATAAGCATCTGAAAGGAAAAAGAAAGATACAAATAAATGGATAAACCCACGAAGAGAACGAAATCAGGAATGAAAGAAAAAAATAATCAAAAATGAAAAATAAAGTTCAGATTGTACGGGAACCGGTGTTTCAACGTGATATGGCGGCAAGCCCTTTTATTTAGAAGTGTATCAGTAAATGAGAAGGAAGACCGATGCTATCATTTTTATTTTTTTTATTACTACGTATTTATTTACTAATTGCATAATCGAAAGAATGTATATTTTGGAATCTTATTACATATGATCATCTGTAAATGATTCTTTCTGTATATGCAATCTTATCGCATTTTAAATTAGTGCATATTTATTTCAATATTTAAACGAACTTCTAGAGATAAAATTATTTCAACTCTCCTCTGATAATGACATTTCCGATAGGGAAATTTAGAAAAAAAAATGGAACATATTAATTTCATACATCTAAACATAGGCGTATAACTTCTGTTGCAAAAAGACAGTAAGTTTTTAAATGTACTCTGTTAGTTTTCACTCAAATTTTTTCTGATATCTTTTACTAAAGATCAAGTGCCAAGTCTCCTCACACGCTCATTAGTATTCTTACTTATTTTGCTTAATAATGCCCACCAATATAAGGCCCAAGAACCATCAAGTTAGAGGGTTACAGAAGGAGTTTGCTATATGAGCGGTAACAGAGGTGAGAATTGCAGTTTATGAAGATTTGTGGGAAATCCTGAATAACACTAGACTTAAAGAGGTTAAGATTGTATCGGACGGGAAAGTATCATCTACAGAACCTGTTCCACAAAGTAGCGGTTCTTGGGAAGAAGCTGTCCGAGTGGAACTTCTTTCTTACTGATTGAATACGAAGAGAATCGAGATGGTCCGCCCTAATCCATATGGCATGGCGGGTCTTAAGTGTGAAGATTAGAACTCGTGAAACTAATTAGGAAACTGATATTGTCATTTGGATGACCACAGTTTATTCTAAAATTTCTAATTCTTCTACTCTATAAACAAGGCTTTTCAGAACTGTTCAAGTACTCCATTATTCATTGGCACGACTGTGACCTTAATGTTCCACAATGCTTTCAAGTCTAGTTTTTTTTTTAATTTTCATTTGTTTTCTACCATGAGGCCTGTTGGGATCCTGACATCCACTATCTTATAAAGTGTTTATCTGGTCCATCATGACTTCTCAGTTGTGTGATTACAAGTCCCAAAATATAATATATTCTAATTTTGACCAAACCCATAACATTTGCACTGTTCCCACTGGATCATTTTCCCCACTCATTCTTATTAAATATCTATTTTTGTACGATTTCTAAACTAAATTTCGAGTACCTTGACCGGCCCCTCCGTCTAGAGGAAAAGCCCTGGATGAGAAACCACCTTCCCAGCGTCCAACCGCAAGCCAACTGTTTTATCGCGGTTGATTATGGCTCCTGTCACCTTCTCGTGCTGTCTGATCTCTTTGCCAACTACGTAAATCACTGCTCTGCTCGACACAAGAACCGAAACGTCGTCAGCATAGGCAGAATACCTGTCCGAGATAGTAATACCATATAAGGAAAATGTGAAGGAAAGGCTCCGAGAACATAAAGCAAGGATAAAAGTGAACAATCTTGATGAATGGAACGAGACAATACTAAAGGTTCTGATCTTACTTCATTCACATTGTACTAGCGCACCGGGGAATGCCTGCAAAAGTCGGATCCAGGTGCGAAAGTACGGCCCGGACCCGGCAGTGGATAGGACAGCCTCCAGAATCGATAGTCAACTCTATCGAATATCTTAGACTAATCTAAATTGATCAGCGCAGCTTCGCTGTCGACTTGCTCGATGATCAACCGTACCATGTCCTAAATAGTCCTACCCTTCACATCACAAATTTGCTCGGGGTCAATCAGACTAGATAGGACAGCCCGCAAACGGTCGGCTAAGGTCTTGGCTGAAATCTTCAACTCAAAGGCCGATAATTACCGACGGATTACCAAAAACGGACCGATCCGCTGAAACAAATCAGGCCGCTCTGCATGATTATTGGGCGCATAAACCTCAATGAGACGAAGGGCTTTATCATTTATGATAATATACAGCACGCAAAATGTGCCCGTCGAATCTGTGAAATATAAAAATACGAAATATAACCACGAAAATTAAATTAGACTGTTTTTTTCGAGAAACGGATAATCAAAAACAAAACACCAAAGAAAAAATTAAGACATGCAAAAAAAAAGTTAGCCAATACAAGCGACTGAAAAAAGATTAAAATGTAAACGCTAAAAATAAAATTAAAATTAAATATTAAAAAAATAAAATAAAAATCTGTAAAAAAAAAAAAATAAATAAATAAAATAAAATAAAAATTTGTAAAAAAAATAAATAAATAAAATAAAAATCTGTAAAAAATAAATAAATAAATAAATAAAATAAAATAAAAATCTGTAAAATAAATAAATAAATAAAATAAAATAAAAATCTGTAAAAAAATAAATAAATAAATAAAATAAAATTTGTAAAAATAAATAAATAAATAAATAAAATAAAATAAAAATCTGTAAAGAAAATAAATAAATAAATAGAATAAAATAAAAATCTGTAAAAAAAATAAATAAATAAAATAAAATAAAAATTTGTAAAAAAAAATGACGCGCAAAAATCGAATATAAACAGTAAATACTGAAAAAAGTTTCGCTGATTTAAGAGACGAAAGAAAAATAAAAAGTTGGAAATATATACACTAAAACATTAAATACGCGGGAAAAATTGAAATTTCGCCGAACGAAAGATAGAAATACAAAATATTTAACTAAAAAAAGTAAATGAAAGATAAAAAGAAATTAAATGATAAGAAAAAGAAATTAAACGATAAGAAAAAGAAATTAAAACAATAGTCTTGTGCAATTCAGTTACATTATTGAAAATAAGAAACTGGTTACCAGCACAGGGGTGAAAAATTCAAAAAGAAAAGGATAAAAAAAATATCAAATACAAAGATGAGTCGAATTAATAAAAAAAAAAAGTTTAACTTAACAATTTAACAAAACGTGAACTCTAAAATGCCAATAAAACAGGAATATGCAAAAAAATATATATATACTAAAAAGACATCACGTGCAAAACGAGACTTCAACCGATCACAAACGAGAGCGAGCCAAGAGTAAGCTTTAACGAACTCTGGACTGACTCCAACGAACTGGTATTTACCCAGTCTCCCCACTAAAGCGAGATCAAGATTAGCGTAGGTAACCCGAGCGTGTACACTCGAGCTAACTGTCGAAATTTACCCAGCCGCCCCCAATCAGGGGGTCGGGCACTTTGCATTGTCTATTTTTCTCAGCTGAGTCTCCGTCTGTACACAGAGCCCCGACCGAGTTGTACTGTGCCCGAAGAGAAATCGACTCTCGACAGCCGGACTGCGACAAACTGGCATTTACCGGTCGCTCCAGTGCGGACTAATTGCCACACAAGGTCAAGTTTAGAACCCGAGCATTTCCACCCGGGCCACTGGTCAAAATTTGTCCATCCGCCGCCAAAGCTAGCTCGTGTTCAGTACCGGCCTGTTTTTCTCAGCCGAGTCTCTATCCGAAAGCAGAACCCCGACTGTCACCCACAGCCCGAAAACGGAGGTCTTGTCTTGTCACAAGCCTGGGACTGACTGCAACAATCTTCTACTGAGTCACTTGGAGTTCCTTATTTAAACACGTCTTGTCGAGTTCATTTGTGTTACCGGGGATGTCTTATTTACTCCACAACAATTTTTGATCATGTTATTGAGACACAAAGCCCCTACTTTATTGTTATAGACAGGAGAATAGCAAATGTCAAATTATTGACTTTGCTGTTCCATGTAATGCTAATATGAAGCTCAAAGAAACTTAAAAGATCAATAAATACCAGAATCTGGCTAGGAAGTTGAAAGAGCTATGAAAGATAACTGTAGTAATGGACGTCCTTGGAGCAACATCTAGAAAATTGCGGAAAATTTAAACTGAGACAAGATCATTCTCCCAAAGGTTGTGAGGAATCTTTTTGACACCATACCTCAAGAAGAGAATATCCACGTCGATATGTAACGCCAATATAATATGACTTCTCTCTATTATCCTTTCTGTCTTTCATCAAGATGGCTGATGCTAACCTCCAGGACAGGGACTCATTACACCTTCTCGAGCTAAGGTTCTCGGCTTACATGAAGTGGAAAGATTATATTGAATCACTTGCTAAATCTGAAAGATTATATTTAATCAATTGCTAAGAAACATGGTTCACTGTGCCGTGCGAGACATTTTTTCACTCTAGAATCTATCTTATATATTTATAAGTCTACCATTCGTCTATGATTCGAATATTGCTGCCACTATGATCTGGTGCTCCTGATATATAATCATGGATTCTTGATATAATCCAAAGAAGAATGAACAATATTTCATATTATTGGGTTCAGTCACTTTCCCATTGCTGTAAATTAGCTTCCCCGTGCCTTTTCTATAAAAATTTTCATACGAGTTGTTCCAATTAACTTTCTTCTATGGTACCTAATCTTTAGGAATCGCAGTACCTCATTTGGTGTGGTTTGTGGTGTAATGGATATCAACACGAAATGAGAAATCGGAGAGCCGAGTTCGAATTCCAGTCGAGTTTATTATATTCACTTACGCACTAATAGCCTTGGGAAAGGTATGAATCCTCCTCTTCTCCTCCCAGCTATGGGTTTAATATGAAGACAGACTGGGTTCTTTAGATTTGGGGCAAAATCTTTTGTCTAGTCAGTCATGTATTGGAAGAGACATGATCGCCCAAGCGTCTATCAAGTACGGTACTTAACTGATTGACTAGATTGACAACAAGGTCTCACCATTTCACTGTTGGATTGGATAGATGTAACCGTAAATTCTATGCTAGCAGCTTCTTCTCGCACTTCTTGTCCGTGGAACACTCTTCTGGTTTCTTACTTTTCAGCCAAATTTGATGTTCAAGAATTTAAATGTATTGTTAATCT